AGTTTCTTGGAGGTTATTGCTATTCAGAAACTGGTATGCTTTTCTTGGGCATGTTTTTTAAACTTTTACTAAATGTAAATGTCCCAATATGTATCATGTAATATTATTTTGTATGCTTTTAAATGCATAATAAATGATCTCATGTTGTATTTATAATATGCAGCATATTTTTATATATCATAATGCATTTATTCACTCTGCCACTAAAGGACATTTAAGTTGTTTCCAGTTTTTCCCTGGAATGAACATCCTTGTACACGTTTCCCTGAATGTGGGAGTTTCTCTAAAGGATCTTAATAGATGCAGAATAGCTGGATTTCAGGAAATATACATCTTTACCTTAACCAGACAGGGCCAGTTATTCCTCTAAATGATTGCTCAAAGTACCCTCTTACCAACATTATATAAGAGCTCCTAATTCCCCACACTTTGTTAAACATTTTTAATTTTTGTCATTTTAGTAGTTGTTTGAATTTTCATTCCCTGATAAATATTGAAGCTCCTTTCAAAATAGCAAGCTCTACTGCGTCAACTAGAAGTCGTTTACCTCTCATCACCAATTAAGACAGAGTATTCCAGATGGGGAGTACAAGAGTCAGAGAGAAAAAATTAAAGCTAGGACTAAGAGCTACTGCCAAAGATAGATCAATCTGATAGATCAAAGCATACTTGAAGTTATAGTCAATGGGAAAGCATGAATGATTTTTTTTTAAGCATGAATGATTTTTAAAAATTGATTCATAACAACTTTACAGTTATGTGGTAGAGCCCTTTGCTGAGCACCCTTCAGATCCTCTCATTAATACCTGTAAGAGCAACAAGGAACTGCAAAAGGTTATCTATAAAACTATAATCAGAGTTAGTGGCTGGACATACACTGGACCCCAGGTCGCTAATTCTTTACAAGGGCAAACAGATGATGGGGTAATTTGGGCATTTGTGGTGGGGCCTAGAGCATTCAACCTAGGAAAAGTAGAAGGTTCTCAAGTTGAAAGGTTTATATGAATTTAGAAGAAGGTGAACATGTTGAAATTTGTAGTTCAATTTCTTCGTCCAAAGAACAGGGAGATGGGTTGTGCTGGGGGAACAAGTTAGGACTCAGATAAACCCAGGCATGCCATTTACCTTCTACCTATGAGATTCTCAGAGTCTCAGTTTCTCCACAGAGTTGTTGCAGGACTAAAAGTACACTGTTTCTAGTTTAGTGCCTGGTATACATAAGCGTTTAGTAAATTCATGATTGTAACAAAATAACTGAGCAGCTACTATGTTCCAGGTACTGCTGCAAGTCCTGGGCACACAGCAGTGAAGAATTAGATCAAACTCCAGCAGTCAAGAAGTTCATATTCTGGAGGCAAGTGACAAACAATACAATAATCCTCTTTATGGATGTCAGTTGACAAATGCAATTGTGAAAATTAATGAGGGTAAATGAGGGAAAAACTGAAGAGGGCCACTTATATTCAATGCTGATTTCTCCTCCTGCTCATTTCCAGGCTACTGTGGGAACCATATTTTGAGTCACTGGAATTCTAACTTTTTTAAACTGTGAAATGGGAAAATCATAATGGAATTGTGCATGGTCTTATTTATTTGCAAAAATTAAAGTTTTTTCTTTCCAAACTTTGATTTGTTTAGAACTTTAAAGCAAAAAGAAAAAGGCAAGATTATTGGAAATCTTGCTGAGTTAAGGCTGACAAAATATTTTAAAGTTGTCCAAAATTAATAGGCTTTAATGAGGTGAAAGGGACTTCATTGAAAAAAGAAATGTGCCTATAAACAAAAATATATGCAGCAGTGAAAGCAATGGGCAGAGACTCATAGGAGGCCTGGAATGTAATTCAGCCTCAATTCTTCCATAACAATGGAAATCATGCAACCTCTCTGGGCCTGTTTTCTTATCCATTAAATGATGCTAAAAAGCCATCAGTTCTACAGTTAATGCTCTCCCCTGACACTTCTACCCCCAAGTTTATTTTTGAGAGTTGACATATTGATTGTTGCATTTATTTCTGTTTGATTCTTTTTTTTAAGTCTGATGTTGGACCACGACAACTTTCTTTTAAGATATAGAAGTTTCCTTTGCAATAATGTACAGTTTCTGCTCCTGCTCAGCCTCTCTCTTTAACCAGGACATAATGAGTTAGAAAATCTTAACAAGGACTTTGTTCTAAGGGCTCCCAGGACTTCGACAAGGCTTGAATAATTTCTTTCCTGTCATTTCTTCATGCGTCACTTCTTTGGGTGATGTTTTGAAAACATGTTAGTCTTTTGTGGTAAATAAATATGTTTAAAATGATCAATAACATGATATTATTGGAAGATCACCAAACTGTTTCAAAGGTGAATGGAATGTTAAAGTTGTGTGCCAAGAATTTTACTCAAACATACTTTTTTAATCCTGTTTGGTGATCTTGATATAAATAATTTGTTATTGTTATAAAAATAAAGCTGAATTTTTTTCCAAACATCATGCTCATTTCAACTTATCAAAAGGAGAGATGAACCTTAGAAAACAATATTTTTAAAACCATGTTGCTTTAAAAATTGTTTTACCATGTCTAGTAGTTTTTCAGTGTCATCTTTTGTTTCAAAGAAACTCCTTGCTTTATTAAAAAAGGATTTTTCACTAGATGGCCTTAGTTTTTGTTTTTAATATTCTTGCCAGCAGTCAGATGGCAAAGTAAGCCAGCACATTGCCTTATATTTATTTGACTCACTCTCCGGTGTCAAATAGACCAGAATTCTACAGACAAGTTTCTTCTCTGAGATTCTTCAGAGGTGTGATCTGTGAGATAATACTGTTACCCAGTGAATGCAGCTGAAATCCCAAAGGTTAATTTCACCACTTGCAAAAAATCAAGAGCATTTACCTTGACATTTCTTCTTAGTGTTAAGTTCTCCATAGAACCATTAGCCATGACAGAGCCTTGAAACCTCTCCAGAGCCTTTAGAGAAGAGCTGACCAGCTAGAACATGGACTTAGAACTCCTTTCCTGCAGATCACCTACTTATGCTTTAACTTTCCTTTCTACCATTAACAGATATTTAGTCTACTTACTACAATCTCTGATATTTGTGTAAGTGTTGATGGTAACAACTTGTTTGCATGAAAACTCACCTTTTATTACTCTTACTGGTGTCAACCTCATTGAAGTTCTCCTTCTCTCCCTCTTCTATCTCTGCCACAGCCCCCTTCCACCAGGGTCAGCACCTCCAAGTTGCCCCAGTCTTAACCATCCCATAACCTGCTGTGAGATTCACTTCCCTAAACTCCTTTCCATCATGCAGGTCCCATGCCCAAACCTTTAAGAGCTCTCACGTGCTCCTGTGATGATGTCCAGTCCTCTTAGCAGGATGTTCAGTGCCCGCCATGATCTGATTGATCTGATGCCAGCTTCGAAGCTCCTGCCCTTGCCCACCTACCTGCCCCACCCCATTGTCCCTTGTCCTTACTTGTCTTCCTAAAGTGGACATTCTCCATTCAACTCCTACCCATTTTTCAAAGTCCACGTCAGGCCACACTTTCAAATCCTATCACCTTCCTTGACCATTCTAGTTTACAGGGATTCTCCTCCTCCCGCTGAATACATAGACTAGCTGCTTAATTGGGCCCAAAATCATACACTCATACTTAAAATTGGTATGAGCAAGTCAGGGCTTAATTGTTAGTACATAAAACATGAAATCACAGAAATGGAATGAACTTTAGATTTCACCCAATTCAGTGTCTCCTGAAACACAGGAAATTCTCCTTAAGCATGTCTCCCTATGGGCGAAGACCTGACGGACAGGGTGCTGTGCCTCAAAATGTGGCTGTTTACACCTTTGAATTGCTCTTGTAGTCAGAGGCATCTGCTTTGTAAGGAAGAAAAACCTTGCTCATCCTGTTCCAACAAGATGAGAAATAATGCCTTCAGGGAAAAAAAAGAAGAGAGGGACAGAATCGTCTTGCCCTTCCAACTGAATGAGTTTCGAGTTCAAATGAAATCCCTTGTGCCTATTTTCCATGGTCTGCAGATCTGTGGTGTCAGCATCGCCTGGCGGCTTGTTGGAAATGCAAATTCATGGGCCCCAGTCCAGACCAACTGAACCGGAAGCTCTGAGGGTGGGGCCCAAGCATCTGCATTTCACCGAGTTTGAGGCCTGCATCACCCACATGCAATGGGAAACAGCTGGCCACTGTATCTTTGCATACTTAACAATGGTTAGTGCCACTATGCCACCTTTTCTTCAACTAAATAATCTCTTACAACTGTATCTCAGTTATTTTATTTTGCCAACCATATGATCACCCAGGCATCCCACATTTGATAAACAGGTGCGAACACAGGTATGGAAGAGTCCTACATTCTTCCAGATTTTATCACTCCGAGGTAAAAAGAAAAACAGCTCCAGGTGACCGCATGAAAAAAACACTTTTAAAACAGCCAGCTGCAGTTTAGTTTCCTTAAAAGATTAGACGGAAAAGGTTTTTGTGGTGTGCGACCCTAGCTGGGCTGGGCGACAGTTCTGTACACTGTGGGGTAGAAGGGAAGCGGCCGGAGAGAGCGGAGGATGACTGGCAGTTGTGCTTTGAGGGGTTGCTTGGGTAGTGTTTATCTTGCCCCTCCAGCAAACACATACACTCTCAGTTTCTGGTCAGGAGAGGGGAACCCCGTATTTTGTAGACAGAGTCGCAGAAGCAACTTTCGAAGGAAAAAAAAAAACAGAAATAAAAAAAAAGTCAAGGCTCAATCTCCCCAGGGGGAAAGAAACTGCTCTGTTTGTCCCTCTGTAACTGAGCAACACCCCGGGCGCCCCGCGCTGCCGGTCCTCTGCGGTTTGCTAGCTCTTCTCCGCCCAGGTTCACTTCCACCCTGTGAACGCTCCGGCAGCGAAAACGGGCGGGGCGGCCGCAGCCCCCAGGCCGCCAGCTGTGCGCGGGCCCCAGCAGCAGGGGATCCCGGCCCGCGTGCGGCTCCGCGCCGTCCTCCTGCCCCGGGCCGTGAAGGGGCGGGACCCGCGGCCCGGGCGCTGCGCCCGGCTCGCGGTAGGGGTCGCTGCTCCGCGGCGCGCGCTCCCACCGCGGTGAATAACGGGGCCGGGCGGGAGGAGAAAGGAAACCTGCCGGGGAGGCGGCGGCGGCCGGGAGGGAGCGGGCAGCAGAGTTCACTGCTGCTCGGGTGTCAGCGCGCGGCGGCTGCAGCGGGCTCCGCCGCGGAAGCACCCAGGGAGCCGGTCGCCCAGCTCCGGGCGGCCAGGGGAGGGCCGCGAGAGGCCGGATCCGAGCGCGCCGGCGGGGCGCGAAGCCGGCGAGCCTGGCCAGCGAGGGGAGCCGCGGGGGGCGCGCCCCAGGCGGGCCCCCGGAGCCGCGCAGGATGCCGCATGAGGAGCTGCCGTCCCTGCAGAGGCCGCGCTATGGCTGTAAGTGCGCCGGGCCCGCGGTGCTCCTGCTGGTCTTGGGGAGGCCTCCCACCCCCACCCCGAGGGACGCGTTGGGGAAGCTGAGGGAGCAGGGCGCGCGCCTCGGAGGCAGCGGGAGGGCAGAGGCTGTGTGGCGGGCAAAGTTGGGCGTTGGAGTTGCAAAGGGTAGTGAGCGGCGTCCTCACGGTCTCTGCCACATTCCTAACCCCCAGCTGGCGACCCCAGCCCTCTGCCCCGCAAACCCCACGAGGCCGCGTCGGCTGCGCTCAGTCTGCTTTCTGGGACAGACCAGGTTGGAGGTTTAGGGGTATCAGGTGAGGACCCCGCGGGGCTCACGACCGCTGCCGGCTCGGGCCAGGGGGTGGCGTAAGGGACCCAATTCTCACAACTCAGAAGGAAAGTTTGTTTGCTGTAAGGCTACAGGTGGGCACCGCGAGCACTGTGCCCGCGCACTCTGTTAGCAGTAAAGTCGCTTTTCCTGGAGGGGCAGGCGTCTGTGTCTTCCTCACCCGCCCCCTCGGACTTCACCTGAGCTGAAAGAGACAGTTGGGGCCCCACAGATGTGAGTCCTTTCCTGGCTGCTACCTGAAGGGGCACCTCCTGCCCCAGCCCCTCTCCGTTCCCCTGTGACCCTGGCAGCCCTGTGCGGCGGCCGCGGGAACAGGACGCGGCGCTGGGCTCCCCCGGATACGGTCGGAGCCCGCGTGACTTGACCGAGATGGTGTCAATTACCCAGCTGGGGGCTGTCCTCGCAGGAGGCTGCTTTGGCGGACCGTGAGTGAATGGAGCAAGATGAGCGCCAACCACATGGCTTCGTGTGCAGAGTTCAGAGTCTTTACCAAACTTGTGCCAGGAAGTATTTCCTTTAAAACAGAGAGTTGGCTCTCTGGCTCTCTCCAGGGTTGGCCTTGTCAACTGGCTCAGGACCGCAGGTTAATCTTTTGCCCACACTGGCCTTGGTGGCAAAGGTACCAGGTTTGGGTTTAGCTGGTGATTTCTGTTTGCTTGTTTTGGTTCCGGCTGGTTGTGGGGCGGGGTGGGGGTGGGGTGGGGGGGTGGGCACAGACTTGCCTAATAAAAAAAGGGGCGGTAATCAACTTGGGTAAGTTCTTCCTCCCCACTAGTCTTTAGGATGGAGTGTCAGAGATGGGAAGTTAGTTTTGCATGTGACCCTTTCCGTGTCAGGCAGTCAGGAGTTTTGAGGAGTCAGCTGCCACCTCTGTATTCTAGGGAAATACATTTAGCAGTTAACCAGGCCCCAGCTGTTTGCAGCCTTGACTAGTTTGCACTTTGGAAAGCCACACAGACAGCAGAGCTCCTAGTATTCAAAGAGAAATGTTGTGTGCTCCTCCAGGGTATGTGGTGTCAAACCTCAGGTTGGTTGAAGGTCCTTTATGTGACAAAGCCCCAGAACATAAGGTAGCTTCACTGTGTCTAATGGTAAGATGACCATGAAGTCTGGAAACTAGGTGAACATACACACAAAAAGTGTTTCGATGTCACATTTTAAACCATGGTCTGCTTGGGGTGTCATTTCTCAGTAGTTCAGTGTGCTAGGTAGGCAAAGTTGCAGTGAACGTAGTTGTATTAATGCAGCATTTCCATTCATCTCTGCATGTCATCTGTTGCCGCTTGATTTTTACTGAAACACCTATGGCTTTGGCACACTCCAGGGGCAGCAATCAAGTAGGTTGAGATTCTGCAAGCATGAAGAGCACTCCACAAGGCCATTTTCTTTGGAAATCATCTAATTTTTCTCACAAGCCTGGTGTAGTGGGATGGTGTGCCCCCTTGTTGAAATCACTCCCATTTACTTTCTCCTAGTTCATGCTGTGCTGGCATTGTGTGGTTACTAGTAACATAGTGAAAAAAGAAAGAAAAAATATCTGCTGATTTCCAAACATTATGGTCATTTTGAAATATTAATGCTTTACCATGGCTTCAATGAACACTTAATATGTCCTTAAAATGAACATTTCTATAGCTTGGATACAGGTTTAGGAATGGTTATGTTCATAGTGTATTTTCTAAGTATCTAGTGCAATATGCCTTAGTGTTAATAAGTGCTGTGTCACATTGACTATTCATGCAAAAGGGGGTGGTATGATGTATTAGAATATAATTCCCTGGCTTTCTTGGCCACTGTCAACACAAGACTGAAAATAGTGCTAAGAATGCTTCACGGAAGGCTGGGGGAGGGTGACACGGGATTGTCTTGTTGTGTCACATTATGGGCTGTGCTGTTTCTTGTTTGTGGGCTTAGTAAGTTTAATAAAACCTCAAGTTATACCAAATAGGCTTTATCCCCGACATTTAAAAACTGGGACTACATTGTTATAATTTCAGTTACAGTGCTGTAGATTCTACAAGATATTTGAGACTGGGCTTTAAAAACAACTTTGTGGGAGTTTGAATTAAGCTGTTATACTTGCCTTAGGTCTGGCCTTGTGTTCTGCCATTTCTCCTCCCCTTGAAATGTCATTAAAGTTGGTAATTCTTGTACAAAGTAAATTAACTCAGCTTAAGGCTGAATGTCTTTAAAATACCACATAGTAAGTTGTACTCGAGGGATTTCTCAATGAAGGCACCCTTCTCAGATTTCTGAAGTGAGAGGTGGCTGAAGTCTTCCTGATGTGCACACTGGAGCTCTGAATTAAAATTAAATAGATTACTTTCTATTTAATCCTTTGTTCCTCCGTGTTAGCCACATCCTCCTGCAAGTGGTGAAGCTATTTTGTGTCATACTACTATAGAACAAAGCTGAAATATCAGCTCACTTATGCAGTTCTGTAGGGAAGAACTGAAAAGAGGAAAAGGTGGAAACTGCTATATTAATTTAGACATAACCAGAATATTACACAATATAATATTATAACCAGAATATCACTCAAAACCAAATTTAAATGGCCCTTATGTATAGGTATTATTTGCAAAAACCTTTTTGTACTAGATTTAGATGATTTCAATTATCATTGATAATCAACATTTAAGTGTTTACCTTGGGTTAGTAATCAATGTGCATGTGGCAAGCACTAAGGTATTCTGCCCTTTGCAAATTTTCTTTCCTTTCATGAGAAACATTGTAAAACTAATAGTGATCAGTGTTTCACCTGGCTTCTTTTAAGAACTGCAACATAAAAGCAGCCTAAGTGTGTATGTGTTTGTTGCAGGGGTAGTTTCTGGTGGATGCTATGAGTTTTGGAATAATTCTCTCATCTGAATGGTGAGATTTCTAAATGTCTTGCCTAAAGGTTTCATCCGGGAGCAAGTTCACTATAGTTTCAGTGAGACTGAGAAATAACAACAGAACATTCTTGGGGCAAAAGGGTGTATACCTGGTTTTATTCTCACAGCAGTAGGTTGAGCACTAGAATCACGTCTGCATCCAGCAGTCTGCAGGTCTGTAATCCACCTCCTTCTCTGTCTCCCCACAGAGCACTGGGTGGAGCTCTTTATATAGTGACTCAGTCAATAACAGCTCATTACTAATGGGTATAGAAGCATTAGCCTAGCAGTAGGCCAATTACATCATCAAGTAGTTTAGGGTCAGGTGAGGATCCTGCCTGTAGGAACTTCCATTTTACCCACACTAAATCATCTGGTAACTGGAATACTGGGGTGGGCAACATAATGGAACCTCTGAACCTTTTCCCATTATCAATCTGAGATGAAGAAATTTAAGTTCTGAACTAAACTCAGGTGTGTAAAACAGGATCAAACACATCTGTGTTTAGTGCAGCTTGACTAACATTCTATTCATGCTTTCATTAGAATTGCAGAAAGTTCAAGATCTATACAATGTGATACTGTCTTTAGTAGACAAGAAGTCAAGGCACTCCTTCATGTATGCATATTTTGGTTGAACTTTTCAAAAGGACCTTTAAGGTCAACAGCTAAAGTGCTATTTTAGTATGCTTTTAACTTTAATTACACAGGTTATTAGCCATAATGACTTGATTGGGAGATTTGAAGCTTGTCATGCTGTTTGTCTTAGAGTTCAGTAAAGTAGGGTGTTGGCTAACCCCTTTTTTCTCTAGGGAACCTTTGGTTTGCTATTGCCCCTTACACTTACACTCCACAAGTGTTTTTTACTGCTCATTTTACTTAAGGTGTATACAGACAGCTCTAATGCACCAAGTCCTCATGGCAACCAAAAGAAAAACAGGCAACACAACTTCTGATTTGATAGTCAGAAAAGTCTTACAGGGTAGGCATTTCAGCACAGGGTGTGGAGTTAAGGTTTGTGAACTTACCAAGAGCTGGGTGTTTTTCATGCGCTATTGTTACCATCTGCTGCTCATTATCTCTGAGAGGACCAGTGGTTTCCCCATTTCAAAAGAAGCTGAAATCCATGATATTGTCTAAGGGCCACACAGCTAACTGGGGACAGTGGGGACTTGAAAGCCGTGCTGTCAGACCGTGAAAACTTTTCTCACCAGCTGTTGCCAGTTAGCCTCCCCTGAATCAGTGTTAGGAGTTTCAGTGCTTTCTATTTCAAGTGTTTGTCATCATCTAATCAAACTGCAGAAACCTATAGCCGTTTGGATAGTGTGCACTTTTAAAAGTAGGTGCATGATAGTCTCTAAGGTTGATTTTGCTTCCCCCTTCCCGCCTAGAAAGGCATAGAAGAAAAATACATGGGCTTTTTATAGAGCACATCCTGGCTAATTTTTCATTAGACTTTCACTGGCAAGTGGCTGGTAGAGTGGGGAACATGGGAAGGTTAGGCGCAGTTGGAGTGCCAGGGGCTGGAGGGCGGCCCAGGTGTGGGGGTGCACACATTTGGTGCCTCCTCTCTGCTGCACGGAGGCACCTTCACGGTGCTTCTAGACCTGCGTCTTCTTTTGGATGGGCAGGTTGGTCAGCTGGTTCTGCTCAGTATAGGCCAGAAGTTACTGAATAGTGATTATACTTATGGTAATGATGGCATTTGGTGAATATAAAGTTAGGTAAGTGCAGACTTAACTGGAGCCTTGCAGACACCAGGGAGACAAATAACT